GTCCGCTCCACACTCCCCTCCAGCTCCACCACACCCGGCACTTTTCCCTGCAACCGCAGGAAGTGCTACACCTGCCCCCATACCTCCTCCCTCACCCCCATCCCAGGCCCCAAGAAGACTTTCCACATCAAGCAGATGTTCACCTGCACATCTGCCAATGTGGTATACTGCATCCGCTGTACCCGGTGTGGCTTCCTCTACAACGGGGAAACCAAGCGGAGACTCGGGGACCACTTTGCAGAACACCTACGCTCGGTTCGCAATAAACAACTGCACCTCCCAGTCGCGAACCATTTCAACTCCCCCTCCCATTCCTCAGACGACATGTCCATCCTGGGCCTCCTGCAGTGCCACAACGATGCCACCCGAAGGTTGCAGGAACAGCAACTCATATTCCGCTTGGGAACCCTGCAGCCCAATGGTATCAATGTGGATTTCACAAGTTTCAAAATCTCCCCTCCCCCTACGCATCCCAAAACCAGTCCAGCTCGTCCCTGCCTCCCTAACCTGTTCTTCCTCCCACCTATCCCCTCCTCCCACCTCAAGCCGCACCTCCATCTCCTACCGCCTAACCTCATCCCGCCCCCTTGACCTGTCTGTCCTCCCTGGACTGACCTATCCCCTTCCTAACTCCCCACCTACACTCACCTTTACTGGCTCCATCCCCGCCTCTTCGACCTGTTTGTTTCCTCTCCACCTATCCTCTCCTCTATCCCTCTTCTATCCGCCTCCCACTCTCTCCCTATTTATTTCAAAACCCCCTTCCCCTCCCCCTTTTCTGATGAAGGGTCTAGGCCCGAAACGTCAGCCTCTCTGCTCCTATGATGCTGCTTGGCCTGCTGTGTTCATCCAGCCCTGCACCTTGTTGTCCCCTATGTCATTACTTTTGTTTTATGGAACGAAATGCATCTATCACCATGAGTGATTTTTAAAAAAAAACAGATTCCTTGCGGAACTCAATGCCACAGAGGGCTGTGGAGGCCAATTCATTGAGTGCATTTGAGACAGAGAAAGGTTCTTGATTAGTAGGAAGATCAAGGGTTACAGGGAGAAGGCAGGAGGATGAGGGTTGAGAAACATATCAGCCATCATTGAATAGTGGAGCAGACTTGGTAGGCAAAATGGTCCAAGTATCTTATGATCTTTTGACCATTAGGCTTCTAAGAGGAGGAACTTCTCAGCTCCATCTTAAAAGGGCAACTTCTCAAGCTGTGGCCTCTAGCTCTCATCTCACCATTTGAAGAGGGATCCTGTTAGTTTCCACACTATCAAGGCTCTCAGGATACTATATGTAAACTGAGACCGTCTCTCATTCTTCGGAATTCCACTGGGAACTGGGACGTTTCTTCAAGGAAAAATAAATGGAGCTTCTGGGAAACTTAAACAAGCCAGTAAATGCCAGAAAGACTCAGTAAATCAGTCAGAATCTTTGGCAAGTGTAGGTGCTACATTGACCCTGCAACAGAGCTTTGTTTTTTTTTATTTCTGTTGAGAATCACAACAAACAAACAGATGATGTGATATAATATTGGACCAGCTATCAGCGTTACAACAGAGGTCTCCAGATATTAGGCTGCACATAACACTACATGTTCAGTTGATCAACTGCATTAAAACATGCTGAACGTGAATTAGAATTATTAGTAATTGCATTGTTGTGGCATAATTTCCATGACCCAACTTTGAGAGATTTTCATTCAGTGTTACTACACACCTCAGGAGCAGGCAGGTCTTAAAGCCTGGCCTTCTCACCAAGCAGCATAGTCACTAGCCCTGCTGTAGATTTTCTCAGGACGTTATTTTTTATCAGCCTGTTTTACAAGACTTGCAGCGCACCTCTGGAGGTGGTGGGACTTGAATTCAGGCCTCCTAGCTCAGAGGTGGGAGCACTGCCAATGCCCCACAGGGGCCCTATGTCATTACTTTTGTTTTATGGAATGAAATGCATCTATCACCTTCATGAGTGATTTTTTTTTTAAAAAAAAATCAAATTCCTTGTGGAAACCAATGTTTTTTTTCCTACCTTCATGTTGACCATTTTCTGCATTCTCAAATACCAATTTGGGTCAAATAAAAATTTCAGAAACTAACTCAGAACAGCCCATGATCAGACCCCAACCCCTGGCTGATGGTAATATAATGTCAATGATACTGCCCTGAATAATTCTACAGTGTCCAAGGTTATATTTTCCGAGGGAATTCTGCCCACATTCACTCAAGGACCCTTTTCCCCTCTTTGCCAGCCCTCCTCACACACGAAAGATATTTGAGAAAATACTCACTAATCTATATTCATTGAGCAGCGTCCTGCAGTTCAAATTATACAGCGACAACCCTGTGTGGAGTTGGAGGAACACAGCAGGCCAGGCAGCATTAGAGGAGCAGGAAAGTTGGCGATTCGGGTCGGAACCCTTCTTCTGAAATGGGGAGGGGGAAGGGAGCTAAGAAATAAATAAGGAGAGGAGGGGTGGAGCTGGGGAAGGTCGGTGGGGTGGTGATAGGTGGATACAGGTCGGGGGTACTGGGGATTGGTCGGTGGGAAGGGTAGGGCGGATAGGTGAGGAAGAACCGATCCATCATCTTCCCTACCTATCTGCCGTATCCTTCCTACCGACCAATCCCCACTACCCTGTACCTGCATTCACCTATCACCACCCACCTACCATTTCCCAGCCCCACCCTTTCTCCCTCCCCCCTTCTTGACCTGACACAACCTGTCCATCTTCTCTCTCACCTATCTGCTCTAACCATCCCACTGACCAATCCCCACCACTGCCTACCTGCACTCACCTATCACCATCCCACCTGCCTTCCCCACCCCACCCCTTTTCTCTATATTTATCTCCCAGCTCCCTTCCCCCTCCACATTTCTGAAGGAGAGTCCTGACCCTAAATGTCAACTTTCCTGCTCCTGTGATGCTGCCTGACCTGTTGTGTTCCTCCAACTCCACACTGTGTTGTCTCTGACTCCAGCATGTGCAGTTCTTGCTATCTCTCAAATTATACTGTAATCATTTTACAAAGATTCCAATTGGAGTAGGATTCAGAGAAGCTGGATCTACCACAAACAGCTGGCTGATGCCATGACCACATCACCAATAGTGACTTGTGTATAAAAATGCTTGGATAGATAGTTAGTGCCCTTGTCTACAATACCAGACCTCTTGCATGAAGAAGATGAGTTATTTAGTTCCCAACAAAGTAATATAATGTATTCCTTCAGACAGGTTCCTCTAGGCAGACAGTTCACACTGAGCTAACTCTGTTCTTCAACTGCGTTGTCATTGAAGCTAACGAAGGCAAAGTGCAGGTGATTTGATCTTGTCCACAGTGTGGTTTTCCAACAAAAGTGAATCATAGCCAGTTGTAAAGTTTTGCTGTCCAGTATCTTCATTCAGCATCAAAATGCCTGGTAAATATTTTATAGTCTAACTTTAACTCGACCATCCTTCTTTAAGATAGGGAGTTCTATGAATCCATGAAATAATTCAGGGGAAATAGTCACAAATAATTTTTGATGTTTTGTTTCATGTACATAAGAGAATGAGTATGCTGGGGACTGCTTCCCTTTTAAGTTAGATCCAGCTGCAAGGATGTGGTACTAACTCTGATATAATTCTGGGCAGTCAGAACTACTATAGTCTACAGATGCCGCACTGAACCTCAGATATGGCTTGAGCATTTCCTAACAGTTGATAGAATTGAAGAACAATTTAATGTCATTGTATTGATGAAAATACAGTGAGATGTGTATAAGCCTCCACAATTCAGCACCATTTTAATTACAGAAATTGTAAAAATAAATAATTGAGACAGAGTTAAAATAAAGAACAATCATTTGTTCCCTCCATGGCACTCTGGGTTTCTGGAGTGGCTGTGGGACGCTGCCATTGAACACCTCCCACCTCCCCACCACCCCCCCCCCCTCCCCCCCCCCACCCACCACCACCACCCAGGCCGCTAAAGCAAGGATTTCCAGACCGCACCCATCACGCTGCCACCTCCAAAGCCACTGCATTGCTGCCTTAGCGAGGAGAGGCAGACCAGACCCACCAAATCGCCAGTGCTGAAGCTGTTGCCACTTCAGTCACTGCCCGAAACAACCACAATGCCCTCATAGCCGCGAGGCAATTATTATTTAGATATTGATATTATTTAGAAAGTGGAAATAACTTTACTCCCCGCTTTTAATCTTCTTCCTGTATCGCCTAGAGTTCAAAGCCTGAGAAATTACACCTGCAACAGAAGGCGCAGAGAAAATGATATCAATTAGTGTCATGCTTTTTCTAATGTTTGTTCATTGCACCCCCTGCACAAATTATCTGCCAACTTTCAAATATGAGGAATGTAAACAGTCAATTATAAATGGAGGGAAGCAATGGTTAAAATGACATTTGATTTTGGATGTCCAACAGGGCTTTCCCAGATAATTTAAGGGTCACGGGAGTTAAAGAATTGTAATGGTGTGAAGTATCCAATTTCTGCCAGTGCTGTGATCTTTTTCTGAGTAATGGAAAGATCTTGTATATTTCAAATCAAACAGTTTGTTAAGGCATAGCTTTCATTTCTGGTCTCTTGACAAAGCCAGAGTGAGTTTATTCTTTATATTTTGCATATATAGGAAGTCAGATTTGAAATAAGCTTCTGAAAGAATTATTTTCCATTCCATACTTCTGATCTAGGCATGGTGTGTCAGTTTGAAGATTGAAGTGCTGGCAAATCAGGGCAAAGGTTCCATATCGCCCAGTTAGATTCATTCTATTAAATGTCTCTTGGATGTTCTTCCTTTTTGGAAAAGAGTTGAAAGCCAACCAGGAAACTATGGGTAATAAAGATAACAGGTTGTTGGAAATCTTAACCACAGAAGCTTGGCTGGGTTGGAAATGCAGATGTAGAAAACATTGGCACACAGGTCCTATCGGAGTTAGGATCATTGGAAGGAAAATTAAAGTATTTCTAACATCTGGTAAGGGATAGTTTGTCCCCAGAAGGCAAAGATGTGTGATAAATTTAAACACATCTCTGTGATCATAATGCTACTCTCAATTTTTAATTTTTTTGGCAAGCTCTCTGATCCCCATCAAATTTATGTTCCTTTGAGGCATACTGCTGGGTGCCATGTTGGATTGTTTTGACTGTCTCTTCCCTTTCTGAGTTCCTTCGCATTTCTGTTCACCTTATTTTGATATTGACTGATTTTAAAGTCTCTCTGCCCTTCAACAACTGCTCTTGAGTTTCTGAACATGTACAGCTTTTACCCAATGGCTAGTTAGAGACTGAAAGTACAGAAATCTGGCAAGAAAGAAATTTTCAAACGTTACAAAACCCAAGAGTGACGGATTTTTCTTCTAAATGTAGAGAAAAGCACACCAGTATTTTGGCAAAATGCCTCTTCCAGTTGCTGTTTTTGAGAATTGTCCTTTTGAGAGAATGGGAAGCTTAAACTAAATGAGCATCTGTCGGTTTGCAGTGATTGGTCCATACTGGTGTGGTTGAAGAACAAGTGACCTCATGAAGGTGGGATTATCTTGCCACATTGCTAGGCATCATGAGTTTGATGATGCTGGCATCACAGTTTCTGGGGCAAGTGGTCAAGATTTTGAGTGGAAGATAGTAAATGAAGTCAGCGCCTGCTTTACACATGTTGGTTCCTCCTTTCAGTCTTAGACTACTGCAAGCCTTTTCTAATGAAATTCATGACTTGAGCTAAAATCCTGCACTCATCCTTATTAGGACACCTTTAGGATAACCAACCTTTTGTAAAGGAAACTTGAAGTGAAGGAAAAACAGAGAATGGTTACCTAAGGCATCGTGATGTTGCTTTGAATAATAGTCTCTCAAATCCACATTTTTCAAATTTTAGGACTTTTAGATCTAATTTAAATCCGTGTAAAGCAATTGTGTAAAACGATATGATGTCAACCAAATTATGTGCTTTACCGATGGAGACACTTTCATGCGAATATTCATTTATACTAAAATGGATAAGTAAAGCACACATATCTTCCCTATTGGCAGAATCAAAAATAGACCTATGATATAAAACAGAGACAATCATTTGGAGAATGAACATTGCTGTGCCTGGGGTAGATAACCTTTGACATATCATATTCATTTAAAATTGTTCTACTAAATTAAACCTTTCATATGGAAGCTCTAATCACATCAAATTAACACAAGGTTTATTTTGATATTAACTAAAATATCATATTTGATCAAGCATACTACACATTTTCCTTACCCTAACAAATAAATTAATTTCAGAAGTCGAATCTTAAATTCAGTAGAACAACAGTATGCTTTTTTAAAAAAATTTAGTTATGTGCTCTTATTTTGGCTAATCTGACAAAATACTTTCATTTCTCCGATTTCAAATGTTTATATGACACTATAATCTTCAATATTTTTTGTGTAAGCCTGTTTACATATATAAATAGCAAGATCATATGCAGGCAGTTTAAAATAAACCATCATGGTTTTTATTTTTTAAATTTGTTTTAACTATAGGTGCTTCTATAAAGTGTAGGAGTTCACAACCCAACACCTATTCCAATGATGCTAACATTAACATTCAGAGAGTAAACCATTTCAACTGTACTAAAGGAGAACACACACTTCACCAAATCACCAGCCATAATAAAAATGTCAGCTTCTAAGGAACTTTGTAATGGCTCTGAAGAAACCGAAGGTGTTCCTTTGGCCAATGGGTCTCTAGATGTAAAAGATGGTCAGTATTCAAATGCATACACTTATAATGAACCAGACACTCTGATTCAAATGGATTCAGTTGGTATTTGTCAGACTAGGAAAACAAAAAGCTGTTATAACGAGGAAAGTCTTAAGTCAGACATAGGATCAGACAAGTCCAGCATTGGTAAAGCTGAAACCAATGAAGTTACAAAAGAAAAAATATCCTCTGATACACTCCATAGAAGTTTTCCAAATGCTACAATGGGAACTGGGAAAAGAAATATTAACAACATTGTGGCATTGCTGAAAAACAAATGTGGCAATGGCAAAAGTAATTTATACCCTGTAGTAACTTTAAGAGATATCATGAAAGACTTAAATCTCTTGTCTAATGACGTGCAAAATAATGGCATCAAGCTCAGTTGTGGTGCACTTAAAATTGACTCCAGCACCTTTCAAAGTAATGGAAGCAAAGTAGCAAAAAATGAAAAGACAGGATTACAGTATAGTTTCTTTTCTTCAGTTGTGCTTGCTAGCAGTATTAGAAGTCCAGAAGAAAGCCTGCATATAGGATCTAAATCTGAGATGGCAAGCAGAAGGCAAGAAATGGATAGGACGCAAAGGAAAGAAAATACAGACCATCGTGACAGCAGGCATGTTGAATTTGAAAAATTTGATCCAGCCAACACAGATTCTAAAATCGAAGCTCTGATCTCATCTGCTGTTTCACCGAACAGCAATACCTTCTTTGAAAATATGTCATCATTGTACACCGTCCCGGAACATAGACATCATGTAAAGTGTGAAAGTTCTAAAGCTGGAATTCTGAAACACAACAGCCAGAATGAAGAGGGGATAAATGCTGGACTGCTTTTAACTGAGACTACATGTAAAAAGTATGCTCTGAGGAAAAAACCAATGATTCAGTATAATCGGGAAAATAGCTTGGAACAAATTGAGTTTGAAAAATACTGTAAGAGTATTTCCATTCCTTCAGCGTCTGCAGAAGCATGTCAAGATTATGGAGCAGTCTCTCGTTTGCCTCTTAAAAGGACACTTTTAAATAAGAGCCCAAAAACTAAATGCAAAGGCAGTCGGAAGATGTTAGTTAAAATAGCAAAAATCAATACTCAGAAGTATCAGATGCACACAGAAAGAAAGACAAAAATGTGCCAAAAACTTTTAATGCATAATAACGTGAGTGCAGGAGTCAAAACGCATCATGTTACTATGCCGGAGCAAAACACAGCTGTGTTACCAACAGTGAAGAAAGGTAGGAGGAGCAAGGTGATGGTGTTACCTGCAAGTGATATTCCTGTTGTTATCAAAAGGAAAAGAGGTAGGCCAAGGAAAGTATTACCTGAAGGTAGCAGTGAAGCTACCAATCATGTGAAAAGAAAGCCAAGGCATCACAAACTTTCTCCACCACAACCCACTTATATTGCTGGATCTAATGACAACACAACAGACTATGCAGATGTTTTGTCCAAATTGGCCTTTTTAACTAAACAGAGTCTGATCTTGGGTCGATGCTCACCACCCAGGTGTTGGTCTCCTAGTGATCCGGGATCATTTCAGAGATCAGCTTCTATGCATCAGGACATGTCTCAGTTTTATCGTACGTTGGCAGGTACTCGAAGGAGAGGTGGAAAAGCAGGGTGTTCACGAGGAAGGCAAATGGGCCAATTTGCAGAATCATCTTCTACTTTCAGTGATTTCTTTGAGGGTATTGGAAAGAGAAAGCGGATATTCTTGGGTGAAACAAAGTTGTATGCCAGAAAATGCAAATGGGGCACAGAAATGAAAGAGAAGCCTGTTCAAAGGAGGAAACCATATAAGCGTGCGCTTCCATTTCCAGAACATGGAATTTTTCGGAATATGAATGCCGAAAATTCAGAATGGGCAAGACAAAATGAAAACTTCTGGCCCATGAGCCAAGGTTACCCTTCAAAGCAACCAATCAGAAATGGCTTGTATCCATCTTACCCTGGAATGTCTACGCAGTCATTTCCTAATACTATTTGGGAGTCCGGTTCTATGTCAAGGAATGGCTATTTGATGGGCTGTTTATCTTCCAACCAAAGCAGTGTTGCTCAACAAAGTCCTGGCTGCATTGCCGGATATTTCCGTTCTTTGCTGGATTCAGATGATTCATCAGACTTGGTGGATTTGTCATTTTCGCAGACTGGGCAAGAATCATGTAATCTCAGTGGAAGCTTTGGGGTCAGCAATTCAGCACAGCCATCAAGACACTTAACGCATTACCAAGAAGGGTTTGATAAAACCAATTCTCCTAGTTGTGTTGGTAGCCAGCAACATGCAAATCAAACAGCACAGGCTTATCCACAAATGATTGCAGACAATTCAGATAGTGTTGATTTCGGCTCCTCGTACCATACTTCTGACTCGGAAAGTTTCCAAAGAGTTGCTGCTCAGCCACCTCTTTCTAGACAGACTGGACTTTCATGCCAACAGACTCCAGATAGCTTTGTTCAGTATAGTAATTACAGGCCAAAAGCTCAAACTTTCAGTAATTCAGATGTGCTACAGCAACCTCGAGAATATTCTGGACTTGACTTTCCAGGTAACAGAGATTGTACCTTTGGCTATGACACAAGCAATAATGTTACTTCATCTCAAGCCAATTCAACTGAGACGTACAGCCATCATGTAATTGGATCGAACCTGCATTTCAATAAGACGTCTTCATTTAATGCTTTTAAGCCGGATCACAGTCCTCTGACTTTGCAAACATCTTTAACTTCTGAGGGTCAATCTGATGCAGCCTGTTCTATGGACCATGCATCTCAGAAATATTTAAATTCATTGCAGTTATCAGCTGATACCTCCAGGATGGCGTTTTCTAGAGGACTTCAACTGAGCTGCAAATCCAGTTTTAATCTTTGCGATGGGAATATGGCATACTTTAATCACCATTACACTCCAGTGTTGGATTACAACCTGAATGAGTCAAAAGACATCTTGGACATTTCAAACTATACACCCCAGAAAGTAAAGCTAAGGTCCTTTCCAGAGACTTACAGCGAATCTTCATCCCACTTTAACACATCTTTTGAGAATTCTGAAGGAGGTGTTAACATTTGCGCTAATATGGCAAGCGAAGAGAAATCTAGTCTCTCAAGTTTGGAAAAATTGATGATGGACTGGGACGAAACAGTACCTGTTGAAAGAGCTGGACCAAAAGTTGGTTCTCGACGTCAGTGGAACCATCACGTCCCATTCCCCAGTGATTTGAGAGCTGTGTATGGAAGACGGAAACGAGTTGATATGTCCAGCCCTTCTCAGTTGGTTTTTCCAGCTTCACCCTCATTTCCTTCTAGAAAGGCTGCATTACCGAGACAAATGAGGAACACCAGGGGACTTTGTGCTTCAAATAAGAGAGAACAATTTATTCGCAAATCAAAGCTGTTACAAAGAACACAAGGAACAAATCCTATATTCTCCGAAAGTGCAGACTGTGGTTTAGATTATGGCTATAGTCCAGATAGCAGTATGCCCCCAACACTTTCTAACACCCAAAACTTTCAAGTTCAAAAAAATGATCAGAAAGAATATTGTAGCTTATACTCTTCGGGCTGTTCGACACCAATGCCTGATGAAAATTATTCCCCAAGATTTTCCAGCAATGATGTTCAAGAGGCTCTGTATTCAGACCTAAAGCAGTCTGCATTAGAAGCAGAACCCTTTCAAAACCCTCACCAGCAGCGATCTGCCCAAACATTGCAACATTCAATCA